CATTGTTTCACGCATTGTGAACCAATTCTGGACAATTTGTGAATTTGTGGGTAGTGATTGTCTCCTAGTATGGTGAAATTGCACAATTGACATCTAGCTCCACCTCTTCGAGGTTGCAAAATAGGTATCATCTAGATGCTCATTTTGTATGCAGTTATGAAGTTCATAACATTCAATAACAGCATTAACTTGGGTTGTCACCATGTAGTTAAGCACAGCGTTCTTGAATATGGTGAATTTTTCTTTAGAACAATGAAGCATCGTTCGATTACATCACGCAGAGTAGATAATTAAAAAGTTTCTTTGCAGTAGTAAATGCTCTCGTCATCATCTGCTAATATTTGCTTCTTGTGTCATAAATGGAGATAAAAATTCAGGTAGACTGCAATAAGTAGAATCGAACAAGTAGGACTTTCATGCAATATTATCAAAAAAAGGCTTAATGAAGAGTATGTGTCATTAAGACATAACTCATAAGAGTGTAACTCAGTACATGAATCCCATGTCATGATCGAACATAACACATTTTGGAATTGTACCCATGCCTATTGGTATACATCAGTTGCTCGCCCTCAAAAACTGAAACAAGTATGTGTGTCTTATCAATAGTACGACAACATTTTACAAAGAGCACTATGATCACCATTAAAATATGCATGTGATATTTGGTATGACATAGAAATTTTTAAAAAAATGTGTCAAATCGAACTATGTCGTTTTGTATAGACGTTTTCAATTTATAGCAACTTACTTGAAACCATAGATAAACTTTGGGGTTGTTCAAAACTTTTGGATGGACATTGTCTTGACATTTTGGTTTGATAATGAACTATGCAAAACTACATAGCCTTCTAAGTATCTCTTGAATGTTCCTATAGACAATTTTTGCTGAGTGGTTAAATCTATCCTCTATTATCCGTATGCAATGATTATACTAGGGTCATTGTCAAATGCTCATCTATTGTCACTTGTTTGTGGTGGCTTTGTTGTACAAACCCATATTCCATTAACAAATAGCATAATCTCATAAACGGGTCCACATTGAACCTACAAACATCTAAATTCTTGTATTGAGTCCAGACATCAACTCAACCATCCAGACTCCGTCACTTGACGACGAGATCCTCTAGGAAACCCTTGTTATAGGACCCCTGTATTCCTCAGCATATGGCCCGAACAAAAGAACAACATCGGCACCAAAGAGCAAGTTGTCTTTGTCGAACGAAGATTAGTCCTCATCTAAGTTATAGACATATAGTAGTCATCCATACAGCTCTCCAGTACTGAAAAGGTCTCCTGATAACTTGGGAAAAGGATGTTGTCAAGAGATGTTCGACATTTGTCCTACTACTAGTTGCAAGCATTTATAAGAGAGAAAATCAACACTTGGACCACATACTGTAGTGGGTAAATAGCGAACTGGTCCATCAGATTTCCTATTAGTGGGCAAATAAGAGTTTTACTAACCTCAGATTTAAAATGTCCTACCCCCAGAGTGGCATGTTGGCCTGTCTCTTGCAGACACAAAAAATTGCCAATTCAAATGCATGTAAATCCTGTAGGACCTAGACATTAAGTGATTGACACTAAGTGGTTGAGTTGATATCCTAACACAATACATGAATTATAGAGGCTTGCAGAGTTAACATGTATTCGTTTATGATGTTATGCTCTTTGTCAACGCAATATGAATTTGTATCACAAAGTTATTATAAATGGGTGACTTTGACAATGACCTTGGTTATGCTTGGTCATAACCAATGTATGTGGACTATTAACGGGTAGATTCAATCATTTCACATAAACCATTCCTATGAACATTTGTGAGGTATTTAGAGAGTTATGCAGATTCGTATCAAACTGAGGCACCATGACGAAATTCATCCAAAAATTTTGAAATACTCGAGATTTTATTCGTGGTTCTAGGTAAGCTATTGTAAATCAAAATGTTTGTGCAAAATAACATAGTTCGATTTGACAAACTTACATTTTTCTTTTTTCTTTTGAATTTCTGTATCATACCAAATATCACATGCATATTTTGATAGCATCCATTTTGTTTTTGTAGAATGCTATTGATGGGACGCATATACTTGTTTCAATCCTTGAGAGCGAACAGGTGCAATTCTAAAATGTATTCGGTTGTACAATTACGACATGCGACTCGTGTGTGTGTGTGTGTGTGTGTGCACAATTGGAAGGATGTGCGTGGGTTTTGGGTGGGTCCTAATCACTTTCTCATGCCTCCCAAGTATACGGCTACATTCTTGTGGGTCATGTCTTGATGACACCTATACTATTCATTAAGTGTTTTTTTTTTATAATATTGTAGGAAAGTACTACTTAATTGATTTCGCTATCACAATCTACTTGGATTTTGATCACCTTTTATGGGACATCAGGTAAATATTAGTGAATGATGATGGGGGCATTTGCTATTATAAAAGAACTTTTTAATTACAGATTCTCAACTATGCATAATGTAATTGAGCAATTCTTCAATATTCTAAAGAAAAGGTTCACCATAGTAAGAGATGTCGTGATCAACTACATGACGATACCAAGTTAATGCCGTTATTACATGTTATGCAATTCATGATTTCATATGGGATGAGCATCCAAATGATACTTTGCACACCCTAGAGAAGGGGAGTTGGTTATCATTGGTGTAATTTTGTCATATCTGGAGATACAGCCGCTACACACAGATCTACAAGTTATCCAAGGTTAATAGTTCACAATACGTAAAACAATGGCGGATGACATGTTTACAATCTATAGAACTAAACAACGACAATAATTGGAAACAAAGATTTGTCACATCTTCTATTTTCTGACAACTGCTGCTTTGATTTCTATGTTTAGAATTAATTGGCTTTAATGTAATTGCGAAATTAATAAATAAAGACCGTGTTTGGAACACGAGTTTTTTGGAAGTTTATCTAAAACTTTACTGTAGATCACTGTAGAAGTTGTAGAAAAACTTACTGTATAAGCTTTTAAAATTTTACTGTAGCAAAAAAATTTTATTTTTTTAATAACTTAAAAAAAAATTAAAAAAAAAATTTTTCTGTAGCAAAAAATTGTGCTCCATATTACTGTAGCAAAATCATTATGACTTTTTCAACTAGCTTGCGTCTAAATAGGTAAACATGGAGATTTTCTTATATTTCACAGTAATATAGAATCTCAAAACCTGTATGCAAATAATTTGTTATAGCAAAATAATTTGGAGAAGTTGGGAAAATATTACATTCATACAAGTGAAAAGGAATCCGATAAACAAATACATGACCAGAAGACTTCAATTGCCACATGACCAAATATTCATCCTAAATATTAAAAAAGGGTCATATTATACAAAAAACTAGTTCGGGCTACGTGGGAATCAAGTAATCAGCGTGAAAATTAAACGTGGCAGCCATATACTACTCATTTCGGTGAAGGTACATGTGATCAGCCATTGCATTTCGTAATTCCTTCCAATCATGGAGTGCTTCTGGAGTGACGTGGAATGTGGCATTTGAGCTCCCCCGTTACCTCCGTCATCCATATTAGTTTAATCCATCAAGTAGACGTTATATGGCTGCATCTCCCTAATGAAATTGTGCAGTACATAGCACGCCACTACAATGTTCCTCTGTGTCTCAATAGAATAGTTTTTCATAGGACCTTCCAAAATTTTGAATCTCATTTTTCATATCCCAAACGTCCTCTCTATTACATTCCGAATCGAAGAATGGCAGCGATTAAATAATCCTTTCTGTGTAGTCTATGATCTCCCTCTTGGACCACTCTTGAAAGGGGTCATGAAATTTGGCATGTGTCTGTATATTGCATCAATTGCGTAATATTTTCAACCGGTGGTACGGAAAATACTGCATCCGGATTGGAAATAACATCCAATAAGACACGACTATCATGGGCACTACCTTCCCAACCAGTTCTGACTTATACGAAACTCATATCGTGGTCACATGCGGCTAAAATATTTTGTAAAATCGTGCTCTTTCTGTTACGAAAGACATCCTGTTCCTCTCTTGGCACGCTTGTCGAGACATGGGTTTCATCAATAGTCCCAATGCAGTCCTATATATTGAATCTTTGGTAAATTAAACATAAATTTAATTTATTAGTTTTAGGATGCGGGGCACGTACCGTAAATTAGGGATCCGAGAATGAGTAGCATCTGTGTTTCTATGTTAGAGTGCAATAGATGTTAATTGGACTAAGGGCTGGCACAGCCAACGCACGTGTCGATGAATTGTTTCGGTGGAATGTTGGAATCGCTCACCTAGCACTCTTTGTATCAAATCATGGCTCACGCCATATAAAGCAATTGTTATTCCTTCCTCTAAAGTCACTTTATCACAGGGGCCTTCAGTAATGTATCCACCTTCTCGCAATATGTGGCATAGTTGAACAAACGTGGACATATTCATGCGCATGTTCTCGAGCATCCTAATGCACTTTCCCTCCAACAGTTCATCAACCCAACCCTCACCTGACATAGCACTTGTATGGACTAGCTGCCTTGTCCTTGGTACCTAATGTGTTTGAAAGTACCACGATAGTATTAGCACAGCAGTTGCGACTTATCTTGCATCATCTGGGTCATCTAAATTCGCTTCAAAATTTGGCGAAGTCCTAGCCATTTATACTTGGTTTGGGCAACACACCTGCACCTTGAAATAAAATGACGGATAAGTATCAAATTCCTAGTTTCTGGTTCATTTGATGCTTATCCGTCATTTTATTTTAAGGTGCAGGTGTGTTACCCAAATCGAGCATAAATGGCTAGGGCTCCGCCAAATTTTGGAGCGAATTTAGATGACCCAAATAATGCAAGACAAGCCGCAATTGCTGTGCTAATGCTATCGTGGCATTTTCAAATACATCAGGTACCAAGGACAAGGCAGCTAGTCCATACAAATGCTATGTCAGGTCAGGGTTGGGTTGGCTAGCTGTTGGGGGGAAAGTGCATTAGGATGCTCGAGAACATGCGCATGAATGTGCCCACATTTATTCAACTATGTCACATATTGCGAGAAGATGGATACATTACTGAGTGCTCCTGTGATAAAGTGACTTTAGAGGAAAGAGTAGCAATTGCTTTATATGGCGTGAGCCATAATTTGACACACAGAGTTCTAGGTGAGCGATTCCAGCATTCCATTGAGATAATTCATCAACACATGTGCCGGTTGTGTCAGTCCTTAGTCCAATTAGCATCTATTGCATTCCGACATAGGAACACAGGTGCTACTTATCCTCGGATACGGAATAGTAGACGATTTTATCCCTGGTTTAAGGTACGTACCCCGTATTCTAAAACTGATAAGTTAAATTTATGTTTAATTTACCAAAGATTTAATATGTAGGACTGCATTGGGACTATTGATGGAACCCATGTCTTGGCAAGCGTGCCAAGAGAGAAACATGATGTCTTTCGTAACAGAAAGGGCACGGTTTCACAAAATGTTTTAGTCGCATGTGACCACGATATGAGATTCGTATATGTCAGAACTGGTTGGGAAGGTAGTGCCCATGATAGTCGTGTCTTATTGGATGCTATTTCCAATCCGGATGTAATATTTCTCATACCACCGGTTGAAAAATATCACGCAGTTGATGCAGTGTACAGACACATGTCGGGTTTCATGACCCCTTTCAAGAGTGGTCCAGGAGGGAGACTACACAAAAAGGATTATTTAATCGCCGACATTCTTCGATTCGGAATATAATAGAGGACGTTTGGAATATGAAAAATAAGATTCAAAATTTTGGAAGGTTTTATGAAAAACTATCCTATTGAGGCACAGAGGAACATTGTAGTGGTGTGCTTTGTACTGCACAATTTCATTAGGGAGATGCAGTCATATGACGTCTACTTGATGGATGAAACTAATATGGATGGCGGAGGTAACGGGGGAGCTCAAATGCCACATTCCACGTCACTCCAGAAGCACTCCATAATTGGAAGGAATTACGAAATGCAATGGCTGATCACATGTACCTTCACCGAAATGAGTAGTATATGGTTGTCACGTTTAATTTTCACGCTGATTACTTGATTCCCACGTAGTCCGAACTAGTTTTTTGTATAATATGACTCTTTTTTAATATTTGGGATGAATATTTGGTCATGTAGCAATTGAAGTCTTCTGGTCATGTATTTGTTTACCGGATTCCTTTTCACTTGTATGAATGTAATATTTTCACAACTTCTCCAAATTATTTTGCTATAACAAATTATTTGCACACAGGTTTTGAGATCCTATATTACTGTGAAATATGAGAAAATCTCCATATTTACCTATTTAGACGCAAGCTAGTTGAAAAAGTCATAATAATTTTGCTACAATAATATGGAGCATAATTTTTGGTTACAGAAAAAAAAATTTTAAGTTATTAAAAAAATAAATTTTTTTCTACAGTAAAGTTTTTAAAAAACTTATACAGTAAATTTTTCTACAGTGATCTAAAGTAAAATTTTAGACAAACTTTCAAAAAAATTCAAGTTCCAAACGAGGCTGTTGTTTGGTGAATGAAACTTTTTCTTATTCTGCCTAATCCGAACACACTTCTACGTTATGACTTAAATTATAACTTTCTAACAAAAATCAACTTAATATTTATTGGATCAAAAATTGTGCCAAATGATTTTTGAAAATGATAATCTAGAAAAAACCTATCCAAACAGAGCATGACTCCGTTTGGATTAGCTGTTTTTGGAGTTGTTTTTCAAAAACAGCACTGTAGCATTTCGTTTTTGAAATACAAGTCCGTTTGGATTGGTTGTTTTTGGGGTTATTTTTCAAAAACTATATGAAAAACTTTTATTGTAGAAGTTTTTTGGATTATTTTTAGAGGTATTTTTAAAATATATTTTTGGGTATTTTTATAATTTATAATTTATAATTTTTATTTTTATATACATCTATGCATTTATAATACATTTATAAATATTTATAAATAAATATATTTATATATTTATATAAAAATAGATAAATATATTATATTGTATATAATACATAATATAAATATATTTATAAATGTATAAGTGTATATTATTATAAATGTATAAATTATAAATTATATTATATAAATGTATAAACTATAATTTTTAATTTTTAAATTTTTATATAAATATACATTTATGCATTTATAATACATTTATAAATATTTATAAATAAATATATTTATATATTTATATAAAAATATATAAATGTATTATAAATTTATTATATTATATATAATACATAATATCAATATATGTATAAATGTATAAGTGTATATTATTGTAAATGTATAAATTATAAATGCATATTATATAAATGTATAACTTATAAATTATAAATTTTATATTTTTATATAAATATACATTTATGTATTTATAATACATTTATAAATATTTACAAATAAATATATTTATGTATTTATATAAAAATAAATAAATGTATTATATTATATATAATACATAATATAAATATATTTATAAATGTATAAGTGTATATTATTATAAATGTATAAATTATAAATGAATATTATGTAAATGTATAAATTATAATTTTATTAATATATATTAATATTATATATAAATGTATTAATATATTTAATATAAATGTACAAATGTATTAATATTATATATAAATGTAAAATTAATATTATGTATATTAATATAAATGTATAAATGTATTATATTATATATAATACATAATATAAATGTATATTATCAATATACATTAATATATATTGTGTATAAATGTACATTTATATAAATGTATAATATATTTAATATTTAATATATATTATATTATACATAATTTATATAATATATAATATTCATATAAATATATAAATATTTATAATATGTATAAATAAATATATAAATATATAAATAAATATATAAATATTTAAATATTTATAATATTTATAATATGTATAAATAAATAAATAAATAAATATTTATATTTTTTAAATTAAATAAAATATTTATAATATGTATAAATGAATATATAAATATTTAATATATATTATATACATTAATATTAATTATAAATATTATAATATTATAAATGTGGTGTTTATATAATATTTCAATTTGTAATATTTATTGTATATTTCATTATATAAATATTTATATAATATATAATATATATTTTTAATTTTATAATATACATAATATTGTATATATATAATGTAATATACATAATATAATATATTTATACGTAATATTCATTATTACATTATTACATATAATGTATATTATATATTATACATAACATTATTATACATTATTATACACAATAATGTACATAATAATATTATACATTAATAATGTATATATTATAATATAATGTACATAATATATTATGTGTAAATATTTACCCATTTATGTACACAATATTACATATTATGTATATTATATTATATTATGTATAATATACAATATTATGTATAATATTAATGTATATAAATATTTATATAATATATAATATATATAATTTTTAATTTGTATATTTCAATTTATATTAATATAATATATATATAATATACATAATTGAAATATACAAATTGAAATATACATATGGAGTTGTTTTTGATATAATGTTTGGATATGGTGTTTTTGGAGTTGTTTTGGAAATACACATTTATATTATATTATATATAATACATAATATAAATATATTTATAAATGTATAAGTGTATATTATTATAAATGTATAAATTATAAATGAATATTATGTAAATGTATAAATTATAATTTTATTAATATATATTAATATTATATATAAATGTATTAATATATTTAATATAAATGTACAAATGTATTAATATTATGTATAAATGTAAAATTAATATTATGTATATTAATATAAATGTATAAATGTATTATATTATATATAATACATAATATAAATGTATATTATCAATATACATTAATATATATTGTGTATAAATGTACATTTATATAAATGTATAATATATTTAATATTTAATATATATTATATTATACATAATTTATATAATATATAATATTCATATAAATATATAAATATTTATAATATGTATAAATAAATATATAAATATATAAATATATAAATAAATATATAAATATTTAAATATTTATAATATTTATAATATGTATAAATATATAAATATATAAATATTTATATTTTTTAAATTAAATAAAATATTTATAATATGTATAAATGAATATATAAATATTTAATATATATAATATACATTAATATTAATTATAAATATTATAATATTATAAATGTGGTGTTTATATAATATTTCAATTTGTAATATTTATTGTATATTTCATTATATAAATATTTATATAATATATAATATATATTTTTAATTTTATAATATACATAATATTGTATATATATAATGTAATATACATAATATAATATATTTATACGTAATATTCATTATTACATTATTACATATAATGTATATTATATATTATACATAACATTATTATACATTATTATACACAATAATGTACATAATAATATTATACATTAATAATGTATATATTATAATATAATGTACATAATATATTATGTATAAATATTTACCCATTTATGTACACAATATTACATATTATGTATATTATATTATATTATGTATAATATACAATATTATGTATAATATTAATGTATATAAATATTTATATAACATATAATATATATAATTTTCAATTTGTATATTTCAATTTATATTAATATAATATATATATAATATACATAATTGAAATATACAAATTGAAATATACATATGGAGTTGTTTTTGATATAATGTTTGGATATGGTGTTTTTGGAGTTGTTTTGGAAATACACATTTACTGTAGCATTTGGAATGTGAAAAACAGTTTTTCAAAAACACCTCCAAAAACAAGGGATCCAAACGGACCCCATGTTTTTTGAACTTTTAACATATGTTTTTGTAACTTTGTTATGTCTATTTATCTTTCTTGATTTTGCATTACTCAAAAAAACTTTAAATTTTGAAAATTTTTTAATCTTACCCAAAATCTTCAGTAAAATACATTGAGATAACAAGATCTTTTTTCTAATATTTGAATTCTTTATATTCATAATCCTTTGACTTTAAATTCTCAAAAAACAATGACATCATCTAAGACAATTTTCAAATTTTCATCCTTCATTAATATTTTTTTTTTCCGAAACGTTAGAAATTTTATATCATAACCAAACTGTACAATGTTGGAGCAAGGGCTCCTATTTTTACATCAGTGCATTTAGCACTCAGGGGTGGAGTAATTCCACTCCATGTCACGAAAGTTTAAAAGAGCAATTTTGCTCAAAGTATAGCATAGGCTATCAATATCCACATTCAGCCTATCAAAAGAGCACATTCGAAACCACGAGGTCATTTTTTGTATGTCCTCTATTATCGTGGCTGTCTCTAAGCTCCTGGCTTTTCCAGCTTGTATGTGATCTAGCAGCTTCCTATCTTCAATTTGTATCTTGATGTCTCTCCATCCCTTCTTTGCTTCTTTGCTGCTTTCATCCTTCATTAGATCAGCCTAAAAATGTACGCACACACAAACATACAGAAATAAATAAAAAAATGTGTGTGTGTGTGTGTGTGTGTGGTGTATTTATTTATTTATATTTACGTTTGTATATATTGTTGATTTTCTACCAAGTATGAAGCGGAGGAAATGTTTTCACACTAAAAATGTTTATGAATGCAAAACGGT